CAAACAACAAAATCCAAAGCGTAGAAAACATCTCATCGTGGAAGCTGTAGTGTCACATTGTGCCACAGTATATCCCTCTGTCTAAACATCTTCACTTGCAAATGCTCACTGCAATGAGTAACTGGTCTAGTTCAAGGTCTCTGGCTTCCATGACACCATTAATATTGGATCCGCACCGGGACTCCTGTTATCCTGTGTCATGAAGATCCTGAAGTCTTGGGTCAACAGGACTGGCCCTTTCATGCATTCCATTTGCAGATGATACGGATTTTGGTGTGGTCCAACTCAGAGCCCTGCATCTGGGCCTGGGTGGGAGCTGAGCTCTCCCTATGTGCACCACCAGGGCAAGCTCTTCAGCAGTGCTCTGGCTAGGCCACCAGTGCTGCCCTTGGCAGGGTCAGCTCTTCTGTTTCACCTTGGGTCTAGCTTACTCGTGCCTTCACCATCAGGGCCAGCTCTACTATGTTGCCCAGGCTAGGTACAGGTACCACTCTCATAGCCCCTTGGGTCAGCTCTCCTGACTACCACAGGTGGTTGAGGGGAGAGAAGGGGAGAACCTCAACCCTGCACCTATGCCACCCTACAGCAGATGATTGGTGGGTCCAGCGCCCCTTTGCTCTCCCCCTAGGGGCTGGCTCACCCATGTTCCCTTGACCATGGCCAGCCCTACTGTGCTGCTCACATGAGGTGAGGGGCCATTCTCCTGAATGCTTCAGCTGTGAAGGTCAGAGATAGCTCTCCTGATTTCAGGACCATGTGGGCAGCTTTCCTGACTGCCGGAGTTGGTGAGGGGAAGCAGGGGTGAGAGTGGGGCATCATACCTCTGCATCCCTGTCATCCCACAGCAGATGAGTGGTTGGGTCAGCTCTCTCAGACTCACACCCTTGGTGCCAGCTCATCCACACCCCCTCCACCTGGGCCAGCTCCACTGTGCTGCAGGGCCTGCTCTCCCAAGTACTGGTGAGAGGTGGGGGCATGGGCTTTTGAAATCTCAAAGTTTACTCCCATGACACACCTCCTCCAAAAGGCCACAACTCTCCCAATTCTTCCCAGACAATCCCACCAACTGAGCCTATGAAGCCATTGTCATCCAAACTGCCATACTGGGCGAGTGTACCTGATTCTGTACCATTTCTTTCTGGGACCCTCCTCTGAGCCAACTATCAACTTATTAGAGAAATTCCTTGTCTGTGTCCCATAGTAACAGTGGTTTTAATTTTATGTTTTTAGTATTTTGATAAATTTATTGACAATTTCATGTGTTTATGATGTATTTTAATTCTATTCCTTAATGAACTTTCCCATCCCCCTCAGTGTCTCCACTGCCTGTGAATGCATCTGCCCCATTCACTTTTGAATGTCTAAAGATGCACTTCTGCCATGAGCCCTTAGAGAGCAGAAATCACATCTTAGTCATCTTTGTATCCCACAGGTCTTATCATAGTAGCTGCCAACAAGTGGCCAGCCTGTTGATTCTGTTTGAATGGATGTGTGAATGAAAAGCTCGTTTAGAGATGTTTCAAGTAAATATTTTTAATGATTATCTGTTTTACTTTTGCTTTCCACAGATATTGGTATCAACCTGACAGATCCTATGTTCAGAGGAATTTATAGGGGGGTGCAGAAGCATCAAGGTGAATGTCTCTTTTACTAAGGTGACTTCTATGAAGACAAACTTTCTGAGTAAGGAGATCTTGAAAAGCGTAATTCAATCTTAAAATTGAAATATTAAAGAACTCTGTATAGCTGAATGCAAGTCTAAAAGCCTGGTACTCAGAAGGTAACGGAAGGAGACTAGCAAGTTTCAGGGCAGCCTGGGCTACATAGTGAAAACTTGTTTTAGAAAAACAAGCAAAGCAAAAATCCTATCATTATAAACAAGCCATAGTTGCAAACCATTGTTTTGAACAACAGGGCATGCAACCCAACAGGTACTTCCTGAGAACATCAGTTTATCAAGTTCTTAAGAAACATTTTCAGGGGTTATCGATGGCTCAGTAGTTAAGAGCACTTACTGCTCTTGAAAAACACCTGAGTTCAGTCCCCTGCAACCACACCTACACTGCGCAGCTCACAGCTATATAACCTATAACCCCAGCCCCAGAGCCTCTGATGCCCTCTTCTGGCTTCTGACGGCATGTGCGTTCATATGCACAGACCTATGCATACACACACACACACACACACACACCATTAAAAAATCTTTTAGAAAGAAAAAAGCATTTTCCAGCCAAGGACAAAGTATAGTCTAATAGAAGAAAGGTGTGTTATCTTTCCCCTGTCTTCTCTTCTCCTGTTCCATCTGTGTCTCTACTTAGAGACCTAGTATATAGTGGGACCAGATTATTGTATCTTAAAGATACAAGTGGTTTGTACTGCCATGTAGGTTCATTTCCTCTCCAGTCCTAAGAATACAGTCTGGGGACTGATATAAGCATAGACAAGTGCTGCATCACTGGGCTGTCTCCCACATACAGGTTCATTTGTAAGGCGTTTGGTTAGCTGAGAGGTGACTGAGCAGGAAATGGTGATGACACCAAAATTTAAAAGCAGAATGTCTGCAACAGACGTGTCTGTGCACACTGCCTGAGGAGAGCGCCTGTGCTCTCTGTACATGCAAACAGGAATGCTAGCTTTGCGCTTGAGAACGAAGAAGTTCCATACTGCAGTGACCTAAGTCATAAACTGACCACACTGAGCTTCTCTAGGTAGTGGTAGTAGCTTTCCTGAACACAAGTAATGTTCCTGTCACTTGAAACAAAAAAAAACAAAACAAAATTCCCCAAGTCTCACTTTAAAACTTCCCCCTTTTACTTCATTTAGACATTTGGTTGCTACTTTTATGTGACTTATATAATAAAGTTAACTATTGAGTAAATTACATTCTGCTTTCCTTGCCTTTGTCTTCGATTTAATGCTTTGATGTTGCATGTATATATGAATGTGTCTGTGTTTATGACATAAATTACACAGTAGTCAATTATCACAACTACTGCAGTTTATAATCTAGCAAACCTAGTTGTTATTCTCAGTATAAATTAGGTAAAGTGATTTTTGTCTCAGTTGAATTCTATTTATATTTATTCTGATACTTAAGTATGAAATTAATAATTGAGTTTTTGTATTTTATTTTGCTGCTTATTTGTTTTTGGTCAATGCTGGGCTGGGGAGATGGTTCAGTGTATAAGGCACTTGCTGTATAAAGCATGAAATTCGGAGTTTGGATCCCCAGCCCCCGTGTTAAAGCTAAGAGCAGCAGCACGTGTCTAACCCAGTGTGTGGCAGGGAGACAGGTGGCTCCTGAAGGCTTGCTGGCCAGCCAGCCTGTCCGAAACAGTGAGCTACAGGTTCAGCGAGAGCCTCACTTTTATAAGCTAGTGAGTGAGAGAGAAGACCTAGTATTGTCTTCTAGCCTACACACACACACACACACACACACACACACACACACACACATACACACGTTCCAGATAAAAGGCACATCATTTGATTTGTAGTCTAGCATTCATCTTTAATTTGAACCTCCTGAATTCTGCCACTTTCTCCTTCTTTTGAGGAACAAAAGAACAATTAAACTAATTATTCGTTTTCTTGTTTTGTATATATTAAGATTTTGCAACTCTAGTTTTACTATATTACAAGTAAATAGCACTAGTTTGGCTGTGTTTTATCACATGATTGGGCATGGCTACTTTGAGAGATAAAAATTATAAAAAATGCATAATTGTATATCTTATATACATAAATATTTACTTACCAGGTTTTCTTATGTGATTTTTCTTAAACAGATGACTTACAAGATGTAATAGAGAGAGCTATCCAGATTGGTGTTAAAAAGGTAACACCTGAATTTTGCTATTGTTGAATTTCTTTGCTTTAAATTTTTTTTTTAGTTAAAATGCTGCAAAGTAAAAGAGAAAGAGCCAATGGCACATACTTAGTGTCTATTTCTATGTGTAAAATAAGGAAGTTAATAGAAATAGTTATTCTGCTCACAACCATTTATCTTGCACAGTCCTCAGGAATGTCATCGGAAATGTAACCAAATGTCTGTGATAGAAAAAATTAATAAATGCTCTGTCTCACTTAGCATGTGTTAGAGATAGTCTTCTAAAACACATCAGATGTCACCATACTTAGGTAGCTGTGGATATACCATCAGATGACTGGGAAAACTCGTTAGTTTTAACAGTAGTAACATTTTTCTAAGTTTTTAGACTTCTAATAAGAAATTGAACATTAACTATCTTATGGCAGATTCTTCAAGTATTTCTCTAAATTAGTTGTGCAAATGGCAGACAAGCCTGCACATACAAGAAATAGTTATATTCTATATTATTAATTCACTTTGTAACTACTGCTTCAAATGTAAACCCTCAGGTCTAAAATGTGACATAACTAGTTAAATAAATTCTGCAATCTCCAGCCCTAAGATTATATTGATTATTCAAAAGGAATGAGAAAGGACCAAAGTTATATGAACTTTTCATCATATGTTCACCCCCTCATCATAAGTCACTTGCATCTAATGCTTTTCTACAAACACTGAGGTGATCAGGCTCCTGAATTTCTCCATGTCAGCATGAGTAGTTTACCCATTTCTAATCAAGAACACACATATATGTAAACAAGAGAAGAAACAATAGGACAGAGGCAGACTTCACTTGGACTTACTAAGTTTGCTACCAGCACTTACATTCTGGTAATTAGAAGCATGGTTTTGACATCCCAAATGTGGCTTTCAGCCCCAACTTCCTCCTTCACAGCTTTGAAACTTGGGGTACTCTAGATTTCAGTTTTCTTATCCATAAAAAATGAATGTTTTAAAAGCATTGTGAGGGCTAAATAAAATACTGAGTATGAACAAGCCTTCCTGATGTACTGATGACATCACCAAGGTCAGGAGATTGTATGCTGGGAGAGGAGTCCATGGCTTAGTCCTGCCCTCCCTTTCTCAGGCTACAAGTACAGGGAATGTAAATAGAATTGGTTAGACACTGTTCAACAGCATTAACGTTCTGTATGTGGGCAGCTAGTCTAGTTTTTGAGAATTAGGTAAGGTTGGTAAAGAATAGTTTTCCTGATATCTTAAAAATTTTTTAAATCTTATGTTCTATGGATATTTGAGGTTTTGTTACTGTATATTCCCCGGATGGATCCTTGGTGGTTAGTCATACTAGAGGCTTATGTTGCTATATGACAGTATCTGTTTCTCACATGCAATTCCACCTTTGTGTGCATTCTCTTTGCATACAAATACTACAATGAATACTTTAGCTTAGAGAGACTTCAAAGTATGTTTTAAAAAATAATCGGTGCCCTTAAATCATCCTTCAGAAACTGTGTACCTTAAACAGCGCTGTCTTGGTAGTCACCTTTGACACTGGGTTCTTAATTCTGTCTGACAGATTAACAAAGATGGCATCCTAACCATCAAGTGACTCTAATGGCTGTCTGAAGTATGTTGATTTCCCAAGAACCATGATTACTTCCTTATAAAGCAGTCACTACATTAATGTGTCAGTTTTCAGTTTAGAACCCCTCTGCTTCCTTTACTACTATGATAGACCCTTTAAGAAAGCTTTTATGTGGGTTGTATGTATTATATATGCTATTTTATGAATTAAAGCAGAAATACTTAAATATCAAGTCATTTTAGAATGATAAACTATAACATAAACATTATATTTTAATGAAAAATAGCCGTTTCCCAAACAAACCTTAGCAGCAAGGGATTAATTTTACATTCTGTCAAGTTTCTGAATGACCAAGAAGACAGCTGCATTTGCATATCTGTTAGGAGACTGTACATCAAGCGGCATCTGGGTGACTTCCCTGTGCACTGGAGATTGAATGAAACTGAAAAAGATGAAAAGCCTATTGGTATTCTTACAGAAGTCGTTCTGATCTCCTGGAGTTCCCAGCGCATATATGGAGACCTGTTAAATTAATCAGTACTATTCAATTATTGATTTACATGATCATTGATTTCAGTGAACAGAATTCTGGCTTGGCAGGTCTTCTGTAACATAAATTGTGTCCTCAAAAGAATTGGAATTTGTCTCTAACAGAGACGAACCTGAACGCACGTTACTATTTAGCACAAGCATGCTGTGGGAGCGTGTGCGTGGACAGGAGTCAGGTAGCACTCTGTAGAGATGAGCTTCCCCATGGAACTAGAGGGAAGGTGTTTGGGGAACAGCTGACGGTCTCGTGGGATTCAGCTTCTTTACTTCTTGCCATTTCAGTTTATGATCACAGGTGGAAGTCTGCAAGACAGTAAAGATGCACTGAAGTTGGCACAAACAAATGGTACCCTCTTATTACTCTTACAAAACCAAATGTGAATTAATTATGAAGGAGTCTTTCTGAGAACTGTTTAAGGTACAAATACAGTGAATCCTGACTGTGGAAATAGCAGGAAAGTAGACTGATTCAACGGAACATGTGTAAGATGGCAAAGTTTAGAATATGCTTTGGTATGTTTGATGTTTGGTAAAATCTTACAGTACTTAACAGTAAGAGCGAAGTTGTGCACAGACATGATTTACCTTCAAGTAATTCCAATGTAGAGTTTATGTTTATGTTCTATAGAGTTTTGTGTTTTTTAATGTTTGATATGAATTGTTATCATTATTATTGAACATTTATTTTGTGAATCAGACTTTGTGTAAGGCCGCAGGAGTTTAAGTAATTAGATAGTAAACTACTCGTAAGGCTAGAGAGATGGCTCAGCAGTCGAGCACGCTCTTGCAGAGAACTCTAGTTCAGTTCCCAGCAACCCCATGGAGCAGCTCAGGGGATGAGGCATCCCTTTGGATTTCCATGGGCACTGCTCAACACATACACTAACAATTAAACTATTCTGCTCTCTGGGTGCTTACTTCATGCTCAGACACTTCACACTTACTTAAAATTTTATTTGACATTCATACAATTTTTTGTATGTATACTTGCTAGACACCTAGAGATTAGGTATTCCACAGTTTGTTTTTTCAAAATACAACTATTCTTTTAATGTTTGAAATCTTATCAAAAGCTGTTTTTTTTATAGACATCTTTATGAAATGCACGCTTTTCTTTAGGCTCTATTGACTCTCAATGTTAAAATATGAAAACAACCATCTTCCCAGGACTTTTTGGAAGTACAGAGGAAGATTTTCCTCCACGTGGTTCTAAAAGTCTTCTCCCATCTTTATTATTATTCTTCCTCCCACTCTTCTTTAAAGGGCTGTCTGTTGCCTCCTGTTACCTGTGTGAAAGCCTGAGGAAGGGTCTTCCATGGGTTCACTTGCAAGTACCTGTTGAACTTCTGAAAAAAAAACAAAACAAAACCAAAAAACTTTACATATGATATCCAAGCATTCTAACACTGAGCCATTCTCCCAGTCCCTCTGGCTTGTTTCCTTACTGTTAACAGCTGCTAAAAGTCTGCCTTCCAAATACTAAGTTTCGCTTTTTATTAGAAAAAAAAAATCCCTCTTTCCACTTTTTAAGTCATCCCTACTAGTAACCTTTTAAAAAGCTTGAATTTATTTTTATGGTATGCTCGAGTATGTGTCGGGTAGCTGTGCACCTACATGCAAGTGCCACAGAGGCCAGAGATGTCACATCTCTGTTGAGCTGCAATTACAGGCAGTTGTGAGCCGTCTGATACAGGATCTAAACTCTAGTTCTCTGCAAAAGTAGTAGTCATGTTTAACCATCTCCAGTCTACTGCTGACCTTTTTAAGGGAGGTACATTATGGTTGTTATATTAAATACATGAATTGTAGTAGTCATGTAAACAGTAAATATAAAAGATAAAATTAATATTTTAAAATAATTTCACTTCCATTATAATATGCTTGATAAATGACCTGCTTTGGAAAGAGTTGAATTGACTATTATATTAATACATGAAGGCAGTTTTTACATGCATATCCCACTTTTAAAATATTGTTAAATGTTGCTTAATGGACATTGCAGCCAGTCCTGAAGAGACCTGATAAGCTAGAGTCAGATGGAAGGGGAGGAGGACCTCCCCTATCAGTGGACTTGGAAAGGGGCAGGGAGGAGATGAGGGAGGGATGGTGGGATTGGTAGGGAATGAGGGAGGGGGCTACGGCTGGGATACGAAGTAAATAACCTGTGATTAATATAAATTAATATAAATAAATATTATTTATTAATATAAATTAACATAAATAAATAATTAATATAAATGAAATTATTATTAAAGTGCTAATTAATGTACATAACTCTAGAAGTTTGAATTGTTTATAGCATCAAACATCAGTTGAAATTACTTTGTTCACTCATTTTTATATATTAAATATGACATAAGAGTGAAAATAACCCTAAGATGCCATTTTCTGTTAGACATGTTTTTCAGCACAGTTGGGTGTCATCCCACGAGATGTGATGAATTTGAAAAGGGCAGCCCCGATCATTATTTAGCAGGACTGCTGGACCTTGCTGAGAACAACAAGGGGAAAGTTGTAGCAATAGGGGAATGTGGACTTGGTAAGTGCCAACCTCACCACTTAACATTATTTTGAAATAACTACTTGTTATGTTCAAATCCTGAATAATTATCATTCTATCTTTTCAAGATTTTGACCGACTTCAGTTTTGTTCCAAAGATACTCAGCTCAAGTAAGAAAATTTGTTGACTTTAAAAATGGTTGTAAACTGCTAAAAATGATTTTTATTTTTTCAATGTAACATTGATTGAACAAAACGGTGTATTTGTTTTCCTTGACATGCGTAAAAAGTGACACAGTCCATAACATATTTGCATGTAATTAATAATCCCCAACTGATTAACCATTGGATTCTATTTGAATGATAAAACAAAGGGGTGAATTTTATATTATCAGACTTTTTGGCGGTGGTGCCAATGCTATATTTATGCACAAACTATCTACACTCTTGGTCCACTGTAGTTTTTTATGCATAAAGAATAATCTGGATCAAATTACCTCTTAATAAATTTTGTCATCTGATTTTTGGGGGGTGTGTATCCATGCAACCTGAGCGACTTTCCACATTATACCTGCCAGGACTCTTAGAGATATCATAAGCCCTATCTCTCAGACACCGGGTAATCAGTTCACTTAACCTGGAAAGTTCACAGATTTATACCGGCCAGAAGCCTGTTGTCTTTTTGAGCTTCTCAGGCCAGTGGTCCACTGCAGTGTCTGCCTGGGCCACAAAGAGCCTCCTGAGCCACAGACTGGCGAGTCTCAGCATACAACAGTGCTGTTGCAGAGCCCGAAGGATTACCTCCCTGGGTGGCTTGTCTTCTAGAATGAGTTAAAAGTGATTCTCAAATGCAACCCAAATACTGCATGAAAGTGTTGCTAGTGTAAGTTTTGCTAACTTCTCTGAAGATAACTGCCATCCCCAGTCAGAGTCAGGATTTAGAGTGGATAGGCGGGAATAGATTATGCTGTAACACACATCAGATGTCCAAGTGCCAGTCTGGAATAGAGCTGAGCTCAGCCTATTCTGTAAATGATTTCTGAGTGCCTCTTCAGTGTGATAAGAGTTAGTTTTGGTTCTTGTGGCCTTTATAGACAAGGGAGTCCATAAATATAATAGACAAGAAGGTGTATGCATATGAGAACTTGTGTTCAATTCCTACCACTACCACCAAAAATAAAAAAAGTGTTATGGATAGGAGATGGCAAGGCAGCCATTTAAGGGAAATCTGGGAAGTCTTTTGAAGATGACAGTGTGATAGAAGTCTCTTCAAAAAAGGATAAGCTAAAAAAAAACTAAAGTGAAAGCATTGAGAAGATAGATCAATTGGCAATTTATAATGATATTTGAAAATGTCTAAAGTAGTAATAATCTCACTTGGATTATTGTCAAAGAGACAGATGGGAGTCCTTATCCCATCTTGCCTTCCCCTGGCATAGGCTAACCTCTGTGTGTCCATCAATTTCAGTACACTAACCTAAGCGTACTGAACATGCAGGGCCGTTGGTGTCTTCCAGTGTGTCGCAGGCATACAACGGGTCTGCTTATTCAGTTCCCTTGGTGTCTAGTAAAGATTTAATAGGAGGGAGACTCTGTTTCCTAGATGGATTGAAATCCATATAGGAAATTTAATTGCTGTTGAACTTAATTGTTGTTAGAATTTCGATCTTGGTCTATACTTCGTGTACATGTGTATGAGCACACACTTAGGCACGTGTGTGTGTGTGTGTGTGTGTGTGTGTGTGTGTGTGCGTGCGTGTGTGTGCGTGTGTGCGCGCACACGCGCACGGAGGCCAGACCTCAATCCTGGGTGTCAGTCCTCAGAAGCCGTCTGTGATATTTTTGGAGACAGGGTCCCTCACTAGGACCTGGGGCTCTCTCTTACATGGTTGCTGGATATCAAACACAGGTACTCATTAGTGCACGGCACGCACCTTACTACCAAGCTACCTCCCGTCCCTTCATCTCTGCTTCCTTTTTCCTTTTCCTTTCTTTCTTAGACAAGGTCTCCCTGTAGTCCTTCCAGGTTAACTGGAACTCACTATCTAAACTCATGGAAATCCTCCTGCCTCTGCCTTCTGAGTTCTGTGATTAAAGGCATACACTACCACACCTGGCTTTGTAGCATGTGAAACATTAGCCTATTATCTGATTTGTTGGGCGGGGGGAGGGTTGTTTTGTTTGTTGGTTTTGTTTTTCAAGACAGAGTTTCTCTGTATAATAGCCCCGCTGTACTGGACTCACTCTGTAAACCAGGCTGGCTTCAAACTCAGAGATCCACCTGCCTCTGCTTCCCGAGTGCTGAGATCAAAGGTGTGCATCACCACACCCAGGGATTTGTTTTATAAAATCTTCTTTTATTTATTTATTTTTTTTTTTCATTTTAAATGTACAATAGGTATTATGTGTGAGAAACAGTAGGTAGGCATCTTCAATGGGGTTAAAGTATACTGTCTACAATGAGCAGGACTGGCCTGGGGTACGATTTAGTCTTGCTGTTCCCTGGCTAGGTGTTCCTTTGTACATCTCAGTGTCCTCATTGTTATTGCATCCTCTCCCACTGAGGCCAGACAAGGCAGGCCCTGGGCATTGTTCTTGGGGCTTTAAAATGTTATTATATAGGTCTTTTTATTTACTTATTTATTTACTTATTTATTTTTAAAGTAATTTATTTAATTTTATGTGCATTGTCAGATCCCTTGGAATTGGTGTTATGGACAATTGTGAGCTGCCATGTAGGTGCTGGGAATTGAACCTGGGTCCTTTAGAAGAGTACACAGTGCTCTTCACCACTGAGCCATCTCTCCAGCCCTAGGTCTTTTTTAAAAAAGCATACAAGATTTCAAAATGACCCTGAGGATACTTAGGGCACTCTGGAAAGGGTAGAGGCTCTCCAGGCTGTCCTCCACCTGGGAAAAGATCACTGCCTCCAGTGTTCCTCACTGGGTTTTGGAGCGCCTCAGTCCTAACTAGTAACAGCTGCTGCTCTGACCTTCTCAAGCTCTGTCCTTAGTGTTGACCCAAGCTATAAGAAGCAGTGATTCAATGGGAGTAAATCAGAGCTTTGATGAAATATGCAAATTAAATCAATAAGGATTTTTATGAACGGAAGAAATTATAAGCAAAATAAACAGATGGCTTTTGACAGTCAGTTCCTGCTCTGAAACTTATGTTATTTGATGGTTTTGTTTTCCCTTTAAAGACACGAGTTATTTGATGTTTTATACGTTATCCTCAGTTTGTACTGTTAGAGTGTTTTGATTTGTTTTGCCACATGAAAATTTTCTTCTCAAGATTCTTAGTTTATTTTTGTGAGGGAGCATGCATGCCATGTCATGCAAGTGGAGGTCAGAGGACAGCTTTGTGGACTTAGTTCCTGAGCTCTATGTTGGTGTGGGTTCTGGGAATGTAACTCAAATGTCAGCCTTCATCACCATGTGGCACGTGCCTTTACCTGCTGAGCCAGCTCACCAGCCCCCACATGACTTAAACGTTTAGTTTTATGTGTATGAATGTTTTGCCTGCATTTATCTGTGCACGTATGCAGTACCACGAAAGACCGGGAGAGGGCAACAGATTCCCTGAACTGGAGTTACAAGCGGTTGTGAGGTATTGAGTCGGTGTTGGGAAGTGAGTGAACCTTTGTCCTCTGGAAAAAATGGTCAGTGCTTTTAACCACTGAACCATCTCTTTAGATACACCCCCAACAACCTCTTAATGATATCTAGCTTGAACTTAGGGCTCTTTTCTTAAGTTATAGTAAACTCTCTGGGTACATTATATGTGCTTGTGTTATTTTTAGTGTTATTATACCTTTGCCTATTCTGTGACAGAAAGCTACCTTTTAATAGGAGTCTTTGGTTCTCTAAAACAGTGCCTTGGTCATGTGGCCGGGCCATGGAGTTGTGAGCACATGGTGAGCACATGGGAGATCATGCCTGTGGTGTGTAGCTGGAGCCACCTGCATGGTCACATTTACACAGTGACAGAGCACACTGGATGCTGGCACATGTACTACTTTAGTGGCTATGGAAGAGGTGGCTAGTAATAGTTCTTGGGCTTTTTTTGAAACAGGTTTCAGTGGCGCAGGTGCTAAGAGTACAGTCTCAGTCTGCCACGTTTGTTTACACAAAGTGCTGGAGATCCACCCCAAGGCTTTGTATAGCGGGCAAATGCTGCCCATTTGGAGTCCCCAGCCCACTACTAGTAATTCTTAACCCTGTCTTCCAAGTTTTTATGTTTTCTAACCTGCAAAAGTCTTCACTTTAACTGAAACAAGATTGCTTTTGCTTATTCTAGCCCAGTGGAATCTGAAAAGGTCATTTAAAAACCCAAACATTAGGGCTGGAGAGATGGCTCAGCCGTTAAAGGCTAGGCTCACAACCATAAAAACCCAAACATTAAATAAGGCATAGAGCACCAATTTTAAATGGAGAGACAGTGGACATTGTGAAAATACGGTTTGTGATCCTAGTCAATGAGGCACCTCTTTCCAGAAGTTAAGTGGCAGAAAAATGCCTGGTGTTTTTAATATCTCAACTCACTATTGTTGCCATTTCCAGATAATCAAATGCATTTAGTAAAATATTATTTTATATTATGTCTCATGCTAAAATAAAAATTTTGGTGTGGATTTTTTTTTTTTTTTTGCATTGTGCAGATATTTTGAAAAACAATTTGAGCTGTCAGAACAAACACAATTACCAATGTTTCTTCATTGTCGAAACTCACATGCTGAGTTTTTGGGTGAGTTAAAAATGAAATATCATTACAATTTAAAAACTGTGAGGCAAGTAGGCTACTTGTCTGATTTTTTTTTTTTTTTAATTCACAGACATTATGAGAAGAAATAGAGATCGGTGTGTGGGTGGAGTGGTGAGTATAAAGTAATCGGTTAAATGTGGGATATACAAAAATGTCTTTGTTATTAAGGTTGGCTTCAGCTAATTCAGACATCAAAAGTAGTTAAGTCTTTTAGTTGAAAGACATGTAAACTTACTATTAGATTTATGAGCGGATGGTGTACAAACAAATGACACTTCTAGTTACACTTCTTTTTGCTCAAAATACAATAATGAGCAAATTCTACTCAAGAAACAAATGTGAATTTCTGGGTTTTGTTTTTGTTGTGTATCTTTTGTTTTTTAGTTTTTTAAGACAAGGCTTCTCTGGGTAGCCTTGCCTATGCTGGTCCTGTAGACCAGACTAGCCTCGAACTCACAGAGATCCACCTGTCTCTGCCTCCCAAGTGCTGGGATTAAAGGTGTGTGCCATCACACGTGAATTTCTATCTCCTATCACTGCATTCTTTTCCCAACAGCCATCCGTGGTGTTCTTCTATTTAAATTTCAGAGGAAACCTAAAGCAATTTTTATGTCTTAGAATATCCCATTGTTTCTTGCAGGTTTTCTTTCCTAGCTTGCTGGCTGGTGGTCACTCTTCTCACTGATGTAGAGGCTCATCCTCCATGATGTACATCATGCTCCTAAATGTTTCTTGTGTGGCCATGTCAGTCTTTACTCTTGACACATTTCCCATAAATATCTCTGCTTTCACTTAGCTGTGGTATCTGTGGTAGTGATTTCTAGTCAGTTTATATCATGGGCTTGAGTTGATAATCACACATACAAAATTTCATATACAATTTCAAGAGAGCTTCAACAACCACCTTTTGGAGTCATTTAGGTGTTTAAATTTTTATTTATGTATTTCAATCACAGTCCATTGTGCCAGTCAAGGAAAAAGGACCTAACCCTGAGCATTTACTGTAATACTTATGTTGCTGTGCTTGGACACTTTTTTTTTTTTTTTTGGAAATTATGTCCCGTGGTGTCTGTGTGGGGGTCAGAGAGCAGTTTGCAGAAGTTGGTTCTCTCCTTCCACCACGTAGCTCTCACCCAGCCAGTCATCTTGCTGACCCTCCTGTTTTCTTCAGGGCTTTCCCTCCGCCTGGCGTTGCGCACCACTAGTGATAGGTGTGTGTTCTCTATTGCTGTCATGTTAATGTTGCTTTGCACATCTCCTCTGTAGTTTACTGACTCTGTGCTCTGTAATCTTCCCTTTAGGAGCTATACTTAGGACTTGAGAAAGGTTTTAATTAATGCCCTGGGCATTACTGATGGCATTTATTGTCATTTCTAGACTCCACCTCTCACTCATCTCCTTTATTTCTAAGACAGACTTTACTTGGATTAGTCTGTAATTTCAAAACGTTAATACCAGGAACAGCAAAGGCAAACAAAATATCTGGGTTTAATAAAAGAAATTTCCAAATAAAGCATTAATAACGGTTCTCTGGACTTGCTTATAGGAGATCACATTTTAAATTATCTTTGTATTAGTGGGGAATTTTTTTTCCAGTTCACTGGAAGTGCTGAGGGCTTAGCACCTTCACCTAGTCAATCATCTTGCTGACCCTTGTGTATTTTTCAAGGCTCTCCTCTGCTTGGTGTTGCAAATCTTGCAAGCAGCTGTAAAACATAGCTGAGAACATGTTATTCCTGCAGTGGTGACGTGACTTCATGTGTAAAGGAGTGTTACTGTTAAGTTATTATTTTTGATTACATGCATGCACCTAAAGCAGGAGAAAAGTCAATGCTCAGTCCTTTTTCCAGTTTAACTGAGGTGGATGATGTACAAGTATTTTTTTTTTCACTTTTATTATTTGTGTGACATAACACACACACGAAGGTACTCACTGAGGCCAGAAGATCCCTGGAGCTGGAGTTAAGGTTGATTTTGAGGTGTGTGTGTGGTGTTGGGAACTAAACTCAAGTCCTCTGCAAAAACAGCGAGCACTTTTTTAACTGCCGAGTCATCCTTCCAGGCCCACAACTAACATTTTATAAGCAACCTTCTCACCACTTTATTGAGCTTCTTAAAAGTTACCTCTTAAAGATTAATCATTTCTCTTCTAAAAGAAAAGTATCCTCTAGAAGAGAAATGCAGTGGGATTTTGAGAATAGTGTCCCAGACCTTTCCTCTTCCTGTGTAAGAATATGGCTCCGTTTCCTGGGTCCTTGTGATAGTCTGCAGGGAGGGCGATGTAGACCCCCCCACAAGCAGCTGCAGAGAAACCTTAGGCAACCAACTTCTTGCTTTGTATCACTAGAAATAATCACAGGCTATGATCATCAAATCTGGTTTGGAAGAAAAACACTGTAGGGTCTACCACATTAAAAACCCTGTGAATCAAAGACTGTGTGTGTGTGTGTGTGTGTGTGTGTGTAATGTTTTTGCTTAAAAAGTATATTGATGCTATTGTAGATTTTAAGGTTATTACAATAAAATTATACATATATATCCCTAGGTGCACTCATTTGATGGTACGAAGGAAGCAGCAGCTGCTTTGATTGACTTGGACCTTTATATAGGATTTAATGGTTGGTAGGTTCTCAGGTTTTCCTTAATTTTTATATTAGCAGATTTCTTAAATTGTCGTATTAGAATTTATTTTTATTAGAGTTCGTATGTTTTGCATTGATCTTTGAGAATTTTAGTAGCTACTTATATAAGAAATTAAATAGCAGACTGTTATTACAGTTGTTACACTACTATGCTGCATGCTAATAATGGAAACAGCTTGTGTTGAGGTCAGCAGCTGACTTCTTTAGCAGTCCAGTTTGCTCTTAGGCTATTTCACGCTTACAGCATTCACGCTCACAGCACTTTATGTAATGCACGCATGTTGGCCATGGGAAAAGAGTATTCTGTGACGTCGTTTGTGTATTTCTTAGGCCACAGAAGTTGGGAAACAGGTTTAAAATTACCCCAAGTGTGAGAGAACCTGTCCTCTGGTCATTGCTCAGTGACCTTTCCTCTGTAACTCCACACTAAACTTCAAACCACCTCACAAGTCAGCCAGTACAGCAAGCTCCTGGCCTTGTTTTCTGTCAGCTCTGTCAGCATTTTTTACAGTTGTTCTCTTAGGAAGTCAGTGAAGATAACTTACAGACTAGAATAGACTTGCTTTCCTTCTTCAGTGTCGCCCTTACTATGATCACTGGTGACATCAGGTATAATTCTTAGGGAAGCAGAGTGGTGGCAGTGCTTACTCCTATTGGTATATCTCAGGATGAGTCTTTCCTAAGTAATGGTTAAATTTTTAAACTGATAGTCATACAAATACACACAGTGATTAAGTCAGGCATACTAAAGACAGAGACAGTTATTCCTTCCTCCCTCAGCACTCCTCTGTCTCTGTCGATTCTGCAAAGGCAAGTGCTGGGTGTCTGCTGCTGTATATCTTTGTATAGTCACCAGCTCTGAGGCCTCCCGCTGTGTCCTTAAGACACGGCACACTGACCCCCCACCTTGCGTTGTCCCATGTCTTCTGTTGCTATTTCAGGACTCTGGGTTTTATGTGATTGTCATTTTTATGGTCACTGCTGCCCGTGTGGGGAACTATGCTCACTTTTCATGTGCCACTTTTTGTTTTCCTGGATTAACTGGCCTCATATTTTTATTTCCTTGACTTTAAAACTTGAAGCCCAGGCAGGCAGTGTCACAAGCCTGTAATGTCCACACCCAGGAGGCTGAAGCAGGAGGATCGTAAGTTGGAAGCTGGCCTGGGTTACATAGTGACTCAAAAACAAGTTGAGAATTCCTGGCACTTCCTATAGCTCCATATACATATCTTATTTGGTTTTCTCCATAAGGAAGCCTATGCAGATAGTTCCAGGCCTTCTCTTTGTTTGGATGCCTATCTCTCCTGTGAGAGAATGCTTATTTTAACTTCTCAAGTTCTCATGCATTCTGGTGTGAGTTTTATTCATTTGTTTTGCTCTGAGATAAGACTTTCTTGTAGACTAGGCTGGCTGTATACTGTGTAGATGAGGATGACCCTGACTGGCCCTGCTGCCTCAGCCTTCGCGTGCTGGGTTACAGATGCCCGCGCTGCATAAGTTCATGTTTGCTTTGGTGAACAGTCTCTACTTCCTGGACATTTTTCATGGAAAATAACTTTTTTTCTTTTTTTAGATTGTTCTAGATGTTTGGAAATGGATTTATTTTATTCTTCAAAGTATACCTGGACAGTTAATGAAAGGAAGGGGAACCCATTTTTGATTCTTCAGTGCTGGTGAAAATTGACTGCCACTCAGAGCCCCAGTCCTTTCCCTGTGACCTACTGTGCTTTTCCTATATAGGGATAAGGCTAGTTTATGAGATTTTACAAAGATATGTTTTGATAATTGGAGACTTTGTTGTTGTTGTTTTTGGTCACTTATCCTGCTACTCTGCTACTGGCCCCTTACAACTGAAGCTTTTTTTTTTTTTTTTAAGAATCACTCCTGGGAATATCTTGGATTTTTTTTGGGGGGAGGGGCAGCTCAGAATTGGTAACTGGTATTATCTTTCCTATAATTTCTACTATATCATTTTCCATTTCTACTTTATCACTTTTCAAGATTTGCTTCATTTTCAACTTTTCAAAATGAAATATACTTCAGCTTTTATTTCTAGCTTTAAAGTTCTCTCATATACCACAGTCTTGACAGATGAAGTATCTTCTTTCTGAAGATATTATAGTTGGAAATAATTTTCTAACTGTTCTGTTGCTTTTATCTTGGTTCTGTTTCCCTTTTGTGTATGTTCTCTTATGGGGACTCTGAATTTTCAAATGCCTTCGATGTTTGCGGGGGGGAAAGCTGAACATAGTGGCACATGCCTAGCCAAAAGCTGAAGAAAGAAATTCAAAAGCTAGCTTCAGTTAAAAGGCAAGTTCGAGGCCAGCCTGGGCTACATGGCTGAACTTTTTCTCTTTTGGAGAGGGAGTACAGAGGGACAAGATTGGGCTGTAAGACTGAACTGACAGTCCCCTCTTTTATCTCACTCTGCTCCACAACACTTCCATGTTCATTTATAAATCCCTACCCACTTTGTTTTGTTTTGTTTTGTTATTCAAGTCAGGGTTTCTCTGTATAGCCTTGGTTGTTCTGGACCGCTTTGTAGAGCAGGCTGGCCTCAAACTCAGAAAGGTCTGCCAGCCCCTGCCTCCCGAGCACTGGGATTAATTAGAGGCAATCCCATCACATGCAGCCCTACTCTCCTTTTCTAGCAAAGATCATGGGACCCTTCTAGAGAAAATCGACCCAGAAAAGTGTCTCTCCATAGAATATGTGAGCATTCTAAGTACGTAGTTCTGGGATATTTCCTGGGGAAATCTGATTGCTAGTCTCTTTCTCTAGACCTATAAGATTTAAGTCACTTAGCACTTAAGGTTATTAATCATTTCTTCTTTCATGTTTTGCTTTATTATGATGAGCTGGGTTAAGAGGCGTCTACTAGAAAAATGTTGTTGGGTGAAGTGATTATCAAGGGACAATAAAAGGATCAGTGTTCCAGGATCAAGAAAGTAGGGATGAATGAATAACCAAAGCATGTAGAGTTGGCAGACAGTGAAACTACTTTGCAAAAGATACACCATTGCCATGGAGAGTGAACCAGGGGTGACTGCCACTACCACATGGGCTTTAGATACTGGTGATGTGTCAGGGTGGCTTTATCTATTCTGACTCATGAAACAGTGTTAGACTGTTACTGAAGGTCAGTACTTCTCATCACATTCAATACTGATTCATTTAGGTGCTGGGTGAGCTGGGTCTGGATGATGGGCCACATGTTTTCTTTGTGGGCACCTAGCTGAAAAGGCAGCTATCAGTGATGCTGTGCAGACACTGCATCGTCGTCTTCTAACCACCAAAGGTTCACTGCTTATGGCCATGCCATCCTGCTATCCCCAAGCGAATCTTGAGGCCAAGGCCACCTTCAGTGACTGAAGTGGCTACATGCAGTGAGGCTGTAAATATGTTAAGTCTGCTATTATAGAATAGTGGAAGCAGGAATAGTCTGTTTCAATGATTGAAAATACATTTAAAAAAAGTAAAAGTAGCCTGTGATCATTTTAAATTACACAAATACTTTTTTTAACTTAAAATTTTACTTAGGCTAATATATAAAGTTTATTGAAAGTTCAGTTGGTAAGTACAGAAAATGATATCTCCTACACAGGCAAGAATAATCAGTATGCCCCATTCTCACTTGATTGCGACCTCAGACCTTCACAATGAACAAGTATTGGGGGCTGGACAGGTGGCGCAAGTGGTTAGGTGCACCTGCTGCCCTTTCAAAGACCTGAATCTGCTGGCTTCTGAGCCAGCACACTCACACAATGAGCAGGCATGCCTACATACACTTAAAACAATAAAAAATTTAATGTAACAAAAGGGACAAAAGTAGAGGGTGATTTGAAGTTGACTGTATTATGGTTTTGTGAATGGTAAGCACGTCCACTTTCTAAAGAACGCTAAGAACAAAATTCTGTGTGGCTTTGTAACTTAAAAATGTCTCATATTAAGAAAATATTGACTGAATATCATTTTAAAATATTGTTTTCAAGCTCACTGAAAACTGAAGCTAACTTGGAAGTTCTGAAGTCAATACCTAGTGAAAAACTAATGATTGAAACAGGTAAGCAGATATTTCCATAACTCCAAGTTTCATATTAAACCTCCCCCCCCCCAAAAAAAAAGCGCCTAGAGGAAATTTGACAACTAGTTGCAATCTCAGTGTATGTTTTTTTTTTTGCCAGATTTTTGGAGGTTATTGTTGATGGAAAAGTTGTTCCACTGATTATTTTTATTTTCAGTTTGGCTAAACCTAAAAACTTATAAAAGATAACAGAATCTGTGACAGAGTCTGTATTTGTGAATATTTAATGAAGTGAGCCCTCTAAGTTTACATAACGGTTTTGAGATGCTCGTTTACCTCTTTTATAGTGGTTTAGTTATATAGCCCTCTACAAACAAAAAGCAGCAATTGAAATCAAATGCTTTAGTGTAAGGATTTGAGAATTTCTCTTAGGTTTAAGAGCTAAGACTTTGACCTATGCCCTGTAACTCAGGATTGCTGTTTCATTAAAGTCTGTAGACTGGGCCAGTCTCGGGAAATTAATTTTATTTCCTTAGGCAGTCCACAAAAATGATTTTATTGAAAGTACAATGCTTATATAATGTGCAAGCCATTTGCAATGAAATAACAGGGAAATAGCTCAATGGCAGAATGTTTGCCTGGCATTCCCAATACTGGGAGATAAACAGGTATTCACAACCACACTTTCACATGCAGTAGAGGCAATACAGAACAGTCTTAAATACAGAAGCATTTCAGTGATACTTCTTGTACATTTAGGTCTTTTTTTCTCAAAGCATATCATATACTAGCCACGTTAGTAAGGAAATAAAATATATAAAAATAAGTCTTTAAAGTGAAGCTTGGGACTTTATGCTTTTCTTAGAACTTTTTCCTGTTGCATTAATTTTTGTCATTTTGGAAGTTAGATTATGACTTGTAACTTTAGGTTATATACTAGTGTGATGTCCATGAAAAAGATTTAGAAAAGTAAATTCCTTAACACTTTCTCTCCTCTTTTCCCAACTCTAGATGCACCTTGGTGTGGAGTTAAAAGTACACATGCTGGATCAAAATTCATAAAAACTTCATTTCCTACCAAAAAGAAATGGGAAAATGGATACTGTTTAAAAGATAGAAACGAGCCCTGCCATATAATGTAAGTTGTTTTGCTTGAATGACTTCACAGCTGTCTGATAACCGTGACTGCTACTTAGTAAATAACCTGAATAACATCCCAGTCAGGTTCAGGGTAGTTCAGATGAGTTAGCACTGGCAGTTAGTGATAAGCCATCCATTGGCACTGGACCCGAAGTCAAAGACCATTTGAATAGTTGTTTGGAAATATCTGTGCCTCAACTGCTCTGTCATCTCCTAGGTTTCCATCCTCTCAATCCAAATGATCTTACTGCCTCAGTGAGAAATCTGTTGGCTCTGGACTTTTGCCACTTTGTAGGAAAAGGAAAAGACCTGAAAGCTTGCCATGGAATTGGTCTAATGCACATTCCCTGCTACTGTTTATAACGAGTGGGCTGACCTTTAGTTAATGATTATCTGCATGTTAAATAAGGACAGCAGCAGCAACCAGAGAGATAACATAACAGTTCTTTAAGCCTCACTATGAAAGTGGTAGGATATCCCTTCCTCAGCAAACCCCACTACCACCAAATACAGTAATCCAGAATTGGATATATGTAGACAGCTGTAAAGAATCTCAGGGCAACCAGGAAACATTAGTCATATCATTTAATAGGCACTTATGCAGAATAAGTCTAGATTATATTGGTTTAGTGCGTTTTGCCACTGCAGGCTTGCCTCTAACATTTGTAAAGATTAATATCAGATTGTTTTTGTTAGACTGTAATGTCTTGAAATATGCCTTAAAAAAGGTAATTTGTAATAAACAGAGTATAAGCCAGATCTAAAATTCAGCAGAGAAGCCAATTAAAGTGTCCTTTGTTTGAACATATGGATGTTCTAATAGCCATATGTATGCTGGTTTTAGCAAAGAGTTTTGAACTGATGCTCTAAAATCTGAGGCAAAATTTTCTATTCTGCTTGCTAAAATATCACTTTTAATGTTTTGGGTTTTTTTGTTTGTTTGTTTTTGGAATGGAGGAATTTGAAGATTCATTTAGAAGACACTATTTCCCATAATTCTTTGACAATCTAAGGGGACAGCAGAGATCCTGAGATAATAAAGACAAGAAGCTGTTATTTTGCCACAGCAACTTGGCAAATACACTCACTACTTGGAGGATGTAGGGCCAGTGTATGTTTTCTGTACTGCCTTCATGCTTTGTAAACTCGTAGCTGTTGGCCTTAGCTGCAAATCTGCAAGACAAAATTTCAAGGAGTTTTTAATGCAGATTAAGAATTGAAACTTATGTGTCAGGCTGCCCTGCAGTTAGCTAAGTGGCAGAGCTTGGGAAAAAACAAATCACCATTTGCAAGCTGAAAGTGTCAACATTTCAGGTAGATCTGCTCTGCAACTTACAGTTCTTGAAAACTTCCACTCCGCTGAGTTTTCTAAATTATTTACATACAGGTTTTCTTTCTGTTTAAGCTATAAATTTCTTGAAATACATTTTGGCGTTCCCACTGTGTAAGGAAAGGTACAAGTTACTGAGGCTAGCTAGAAGCAGCAGTTCTTATCACACAACCATGGGATGAATAGGGCCATGAAGCATGTGTTTTGGATAAAGGCATCTGCTCCCTGGAGCAGACAAACAGATACAGTCCGAGACAGTCAGCTGCTGCAGAGGTGTCAGTCTATCACTGACTTGGAGTTAGCAACTGCCTGCCCCAAGGAGCACTCAGAGCACACTTTCCAAATGTGGAGTTTAGCTGTTCACTAAGCATGACTGGAAGTCAGGTCAGGTAAAGACACTCACCCTGGGCAAAGCAGACTGTAGACAAGCCTGGTAGCATCAGGGAAACAATGTACTCGGTGTACAAAGTAGGATGAGGAATTGAGTAGAAGAGAAATCTAGGACAGTAAAGTGAGACCAGATCCCTGCGGCTTTGCCAACCTTAGTAGTGTAGATTTCATCAAGACCCAAAAAGACTAAAAGCAGAGAATAGTGATTTTTGTTTGTAACCCAGGCAGCCCAGAAGTTGCTGTATAGCATCAGGTAACCTTCAATACCTAATCATCTTGCTTCTATCTCCCAGGTGTTGAGTTAGTCTTGAATCAACATATCTATGTCTGGTTGTTTTGTTTTTTTTCTTTTTTCAAGGTTAACTGCCCTTCATTTCAATATTGAAAGGAGAAGGGCAGATACTGCAGGACTTTAATGCCTGCAGTGTAAGGGTGTCACAGTAGGTGCTGGAGAGATGGCTCAAGGATTAAGGGCACTTGGAGAGAACCCAAGTTGTGTTCCCACCACCACATATTGGGCAGCCTGCAACCACCCATAACTCCGGCTCCAGGGGAATCTGGTCCCTGCACTCGCGCACGCAAATGTGAAAAAAAAAAATTTTAAGTGTCACCATAAGCAAAAGCAATTAAGTTCCCCAGAATGCTATACTTAAAAATAAGTAAGTGCAGCTTTATGCCCCTGAAGCTACAGAAAAAATACACTGGTACAAAAGGGCTACCCTGGTTTCTGGATTGCTGACTTACTAAACAGAGTGCTTTACTAAGCACCAGTGATTTTATCCAATTGGAATAGTAAACGCCCTGCTGCCCCAGTCTTAGCTGAGCAGCTGTGCCCTTGGCCACTCTTGTCAGCAGCAGTTCTACTTATGAGTGCAGTCGAAGTTCATTGCACAAAACTGCATTTCAGTGCTTCAGTGTCTCATCAATATCTGTGTCAAACAAAACTTTGATGTCATACTAGAACAATTTTTTAAATTCCAGCTAACTGTAAATCCCCATCCCTATTTATTTTGGGTGTTCAGTTGGGATACTCATAAAGGGAACAAAAAGACAAGGAATATTTAAAGTTTTAATTTGAATTACAATTGTCTAACCCATGTATAAAAACTACCTACAGATAATATTCCTAGGAAATCACTACTGTTGAGTGTTTGGGAAAAGAAACAAACACGGGACCTCTGGGCTCTTGTCTCTGCTCTGAGTACAAGACCAGAGCTGCTCCTACAGCTACACCTTCTAAACTTGTCATCATGCACACAACCATTCCTTGCCAGAGGTCTGTCAGAGACTAGTTCAGTAAGCAGTACCTTTCACATTTTTGGTCCTACTTTCCCCAATACCATTTTATTAATAAATATATACATATAAAAATAAATATGTACATATGTGTATATATATTTATTATGTATAAATACATTTTATTTCTATATAAAATATATTTATATATAGTAAATAGTAAAACAATATAAATAAAACTAAACCCAAAGTAGAAAAGTACTTACTTAACCTGTATTTTATGCAGTATAGCAGTGCACATCATTTTTAAAGATGCTCATGATGCAGTAACAAATGTGCTAGGACCTAGAGTTTTAAAGGACTTACACCCCTGGGACAATTCCATTAGTTGAATACTCACATGACCCTGGTTCTTTCTTTATATTCAAGATAGCTCCAGAATTTTCTAATTGCCAGTAATTGGTGATATTTCCCTACTGATGCTACTGCCAACTTTCATGACTCTTAAACTTCCTTAGAAGAGGTACTAGTATAGTATAAGTATAGGAAAAGATGATTATCTACCTTTAAAACAATATATTCTTAGTAAGTGTATCCTTTTGTGTTTTGTTTTTAGTCAGATATTGGAGATAATGTCAACAGTAAGAGAAGAAGATCCACTGGAATTAGCCAACACGCTATATAACAACACCATTAAATTATTTTTTTCCTGATACTTGATTTGTGTTTTCTTTTCAAGCAGTGGAATTTCATAGTAAGACTATTGAGCTTCACTAAGGAAATCTTTGCAGCCCTTCTTTAAGTAGGTAACACTGCACATTAGCCTGTACTTTTACCCATTAAGTCAGACCAGCACTGTGTAGGCTGTTAACGCCTCAGTTAACAATGAGAAACTTTTTATTGTGTAATCTCATCATTAGTCTGAAAGGACATCACTGCAAACAGTGATGTTTCTCTAAAACTTACACAGCACAGCCTGGTTTATATCAAAGTTTAGCTGATAACAGGCCTGTTTCTCAATCCTCAGTCTCTGACTTGTGACTTCTGACCCAGGTCCAAGTTGCATCTCAGATTTCAAGTTTCTCAGTTGTTTCTAGCAGGTTATTTTTCCTTAGTTTTAGAAAACATTTTATAACCTTTCTACTCCAAGTTATTTTATCTCATCTTTAATTTTATACTAGAGTTCCTTTATTTTGCATTTCGTTTTCTACTCATTTTAAAGAGCATCTAGAGTCCAGCACTGCATATATTCTAATCTCATGGAGGGATCTTTGGCACAACTGACGCACTGTATGATCATTAGCTCAAGAAGTTATTTGTTCAAATTGTCATAAAAACGTGAAAACATTTTATTCTATGTACAATAATGTACACAAATTTAAATAGGTCACCAAAGAGACCAGAAGTAATTAAAAAGGTATATTTACAGTAGCACATCACAGTAAACGGAAAATCATTCACAGTTTCAACATCGATACTGTTTTTGTGCTTGGTTACACACTGACGTGAAGCATATTACTCCATTTTGGATGAACTGAATTTTAAACAAATACCTCAATGATTAGTAAATGCTACTTTAATCAGTGTCATCATTAAATTCTGCTGCTGCTGCTGCGCCTGTGTGCTGAATCTCCACGTTTCTTTCTCTTTGAACATCATCATCGCAGTCTGTACTGTCATCCTCGTTCAACTCTCGGTCAGATCCAGCAGCCTCTTCTCTTAAAGCTTCCTCTGGATTTTGATTTTCATTGGGTGCAATAAATCCATTGTTGTTAGATATATTTGAATTATCCTTGATATCATCTTCGATGTACACTTTCTGATGGCACATTGGACAAGTGTCTTGAATGTATAGCCATTTCCGAAGGCAGAGTGCATGGAAATAATGGTTACATGGTGTAATGCGAGCAGATGTTGTAAACTCATGATAGCAGATTGCACATACATCATCTATCTCTTGCAACTGGCTCCCTTTTACTTCAGGAAGTGAATTGATTTTCTTAACAGCAGTTCTACGATTCATGAATGTCTTCCAGCCATTTTTTACTTGTAAATAGATGTTAAAATATGCATGTAGGCACATCATACAAGCCCGGATTTTACTTCCTGACTCAAACATCATGGTATAGGCCCCATTCCCAAACATTACTACTCCAAATATAAATTCGATAATATTGCCTGTTGAGCGAACAAAGTAGACATAATCATCAAGCTTTTCCCAGAGGACATTATAGTAGCCATCAATCATGAACAGCGTATAAACAGTGAGAGAAACTATTACTTTCAAGCAGAGTTCCACACAAAAGGCTGTAACTGCAAACAACCACGTGTTTAGTGCATAGTGATGCCAAAGAACATAACTGAGTAAAACAGGAAGAATAAACAGGCAAGCAGAGACAAACAGCACAGGGAAATGTCTATGGAAAGATGACACATGGGAGGCACTAAGAGACATTAATACGGGGTCTGTCATTCCATGGATGAAATGCAGGACTGCAGTTAATAAAAGGCACATGTTTCTACTTAAGCGAATAAGTCTCTCTTCAGGTCTCAGCCCACTTAAACCAGTCTGAAGAGCCAAAATGAAAAATAAAACAGGTGCTACAAAGCCAAGCCGCCTGTCATCTTCTTCAGTTGATCCAATAAAGGCCAATATTCCAAGACCCAAATAATGGGCTATTGAAGAAATCACAGCACTCATGCCTAGTACAGTTAGTGTAGAATCGCATCCACTAATTATTAGATTGCAAATGAGGTCCCAGAAATCATCCCAAGAAATAAAGAAGGACTCAGTTTCATTTGCCATCCTTAAAATGTATATTAACATTGTAGCCTGAGCTGTAATTCTTGTTAGCCAGAAGACCCGAAGTATATCTGGGAAACGAATCCTCTTCCATGTGTCCTCCATCAATAACTGTAATCCATAAATTCGGTACATATGCCTCACTAACAAGTAAACATACCGAGTGGAATAATAAAACCACCTAAGTTTCACTGCCAAGACAAGCACTGTGTTCAGTATGAGAATCACGGAAGATGTGAACACTAAAGTCTCTCTGATGTGTAATGGTAGCTCTGTGATTAAGCCAATTACAGGAACCAAGATATTCAAAATAAGTAATTGTGAATAGACGGACTGAATCTGGAGCAGTGTGACATATCCAATTCCAAAGGTTAGCTGCAGAACGATGAGTGCCATCCACAGTGAGGGCCCTTTCCGAGGAAGCAGCTCAATTCCAAAAGCTGATGTGTTGTAGGCACCATAGAAGTCAATGTGCAAAGCAGCATAGTAATTCACCAACACTGAAGTCGCAGCTAATAGAAAGGCTGAGCTGTACATGTAAAACTTGAAAAGTGATCGCTGTGACAAGATCAGAACAATACTGGACACAACTATACCTAAGGGAAAAAAAGAAAAGATTATCCAAATGAAATCTTCTTAAGCATGCTTGCATACTAGCAATTACAACTTTTCTTCCTTTATTATGATATTTTCATAGTTGTAGAACCTCAAGACAACTTAGGCTTAAAGGGCAATAAAGATTTGAGAAAACAGAGTTCTAAAGGCCAGACCAACTAAACATATGTTTAAAAACCTGGCCCCTTATTTTCTGGTTTCCAAAGTAATTCTGTTTGTCATGGTATACATCCAAGCATGCAATTACTAAAATTATCTTCAGGACAAATTTGTAATGCTATGCAAGCACATTTTGTTAAGTTTTTAAACTCAAAAGAACACTTCCTGTATAATTTCATAATCATTAAAAGTCTAATGTAATACCACCAAAATAAGACCATTCAGAATAAAAATTAGTAGAATAAAAGGCTTGTTCTGACTTAGTTTCAGAATCCTTTCCTTGAGTATTCTTTAGGCCAACCAAGTTTTATACTTCTCCCTAGTGTCTCCTTCTGACTGAGCTCAACAGGCTCTTTTGTTTCTTAGATATGCATATTCTCTAAGGGTCCAAGCTCAGGCCCCCAATACAGTCCTTCACATTTCTGAATTGTTCTCTAAGTACCCTTTTCCTACAAATTACTGAATCACTTTTTCAGATAACAAAAGTAACACTTAGAAAAACCAAACCATGTTTTAGAAGATGGCTCTAAACGTGCTCTCATTATTCACGTTTGATCATCTAATGATCAATCCCTATCAAGCGCCATCATAGTACTTTGCCTAAATAGATGCATTTTTAAAGTGAAATCACCATAAGTACATCATTGGATTAGGTTTAAAGTACAAGAATGAAATAAGACTGCTCACCTAAATTTCTTACATTGTTAACTGTAAACCTCACCTGCCTTTTACAGAACCAGCATTTCCTTGTGATTTCTAATTTCAATAAAGGTACATTATTCTAATGATGCTATGAGCTCCACACCCTCAAACTTTGGTTCCCAAGACACACTAGTGCCAAATGCTCCTTTCTCTACCATAATCACACCTGTAGTTGTATTTCTTAGAATGACAGCCTACACTTCTCCAACCCTGACTTTTCAAACCTTAACTATCCTGAAATCCTTTTGATAATTATTGTTCACTCAGCATACCTACAGAATCTTTTGACATACTACCTGATACTGAAATTTGTAACTATCCATGTAGGTATCACCCTATTACACAGTATTTCCTTGCTTTATAAATTAATAGATCCCACAGTGCTTTATTCAAAAAAGGTTGTTTACTGCTACAATGTTTCAGTACCATGTACATTATGCTCTTAAAGATGCTAACAAAATACAACCTAACTGAAAATGGAGACCTAGAAAAGGAAGAGACAAAGCTAAGAAGCTTTCCCATCAGTGTGCCATCAAGAAGAATGCTGTATTTTACAGCCTCCACATAGCTTAAAAAAAAAAAAAAAAAAAAAAGGCTGGAGTGAAAGCTAGTTCCTTTATGGGATTATCTGTGCCTAAATGTATTAACAGCTTTTTCTGGAAAAGAACGATAGCACTACTTCGGCCTGCAAGAGGCCAGATGCTACCTTGCTTTCTCTACTTGAAAAAATCCCAAGCCCAAATGATCTTCTCAGTTGAATTCTATTTTACTTATTTAAAAAAAAAAAAAAAAAAAAAAAACATTTTATTTTATGTGCATCAATGTTTTATCTGCATGTATGTCTATGTGCGGGTGATTCCCGACAAACTGGAGTTGTAGACAGTTGTGAACTGCCCATATGGGTGCTAGGGAACTGAACCCAGGTCCTCTGGAAGAACTGCCAGTGCTCTTAACCACTGAGCCATCTCTCTCCAGCCCGATTGAGTTCTATTTTATGCCACTTAAATAGAGAAAGTAAAGCATATACTAAAATGCTAAGTGTCAACTTGCTATTCAGAGTAGTGTATCAGTTCCCACCAGTAACTATTCATGACCTTAGCTGAGCTGTTATAGTCTTTTCTTATTCCAATAATTTTTTCCGCATCTTACTTATACACACAAGTGGAGGGATAGCCTGGCTATTAGGAATGCTGTACAGAAACAAGTGCCACAGTAAGTACCAAAGAAATGAACTTGGGAACAGTTGGAGAGGGTAGGTACTGTAGTGATACTATAACCTCTAAGTCTGGATATGGCCTAACAAGCAACCTGATCCTTCCCTTCCTCCAAAATCAAGACCTCACGATATACTTAACGCTGGCCCCAAGCCTGTACCTGCCTCAGCCTCCTAAACGCTGGATTGCAGTGCCACCACCCCTACTTTCACACTACTCTTCCCTGAGTAAATTACATTCTCAGTGTATAATTACTGAACTCCAAAAGTAGCATACACTTGTAATTCCTACCCAAAGGTTATAGACAGATCTTTTATATCATGTTCCTACGGAATATGGGGAGAACCAACTCTGACTTTACAGAAAAAAAATACCAACTTCCCAAATAATAAGTCTCCAAAGTAAATGTCCTCTCTTCTGATCTTTGAGAAACTTTGTAAAGTTTCTTTGCATTCCACAACTCAGACCTGGGGTTTTTCCTTAGAGTCCCCTTAAAGGTCCAAGGAAACCCAGGGGTAGTTTTTTTGTAGGACTCATAAGACACCTACTTTCCTTTAAAACACCACCTTGGGACACAGAGAATTGAATTAAACCACAACTTGGGAATTTCAGCCCCAGACTTCAGTAACTAAAGTGTTTAAAGTTCTCAAGGCAAAAAAAGAGCCAGGTATCAAAATCTTTCAGGAGCTTTGAATTCATATTTGAACTAAGTTCACCAAGTTCAGGGCTTTTTCAATTACATTTCCAAAACCAAGAAAGCAAGTAACACAGCATAAATGTTTTTGTTTTCAAGACAGGGATTGACTATGTATGTAGTCTAAACTAGCCTTCAACTTGTGCCCTCCAGAGTGCTAAGATTAATGGTGTCCCTAACCACAGCGCAAACTTCACAAAGTCCATTCATTCCTAACTCTTCTGAAAATTTATGATTAAAACTCCGAAGGGAATAAAATAACATTTACACCTCTCCAGATCCCTAAGTTCCTTTAAAGTATTTTAAAGCAGGCTACAGAATGTAATATATAGGCAAAGAAACACTGTTTAAAATATGTATATAATTAAAAGCAAAGTATTATGAAATGATGTTAATCTGTTAGCATACTTTTCAAATAAATTATAGCACAGGGAAACATTTTCTAAACTTGGCGGTGTGGCACTCACCTATAATCCACCCAAGGAACTGAGGCATAAGGACCATGCTGAGCTGTGTGAGACCCTCCCTACCTTAAAACAACAAAATTAAACTTTCATTTTAGGTAAACACAACAGCAAGAATGGTAGCCTAGGTTGTTTAACTCATGAAATTAAGTGTTAATAAGTATGATTTTCATTAACATATGTGAACATGGATTTTGAAAGCCAAATCCTGAAAAGCTGGTGGTTTTGGAGACAGATCTCTCTACAGAGCCCAACTGTCCTTGAACTCTAAGATCTGCCTACCTCTGCTTCCAGAGGGCTGGGACTAAAGGCATGTGCCCCATACCTAGCTCTGAAGAGGTAAGGTATTCATTGAGTTCTGTTGGTTTCTGTCTTTACCATCTGCAATATAAAATACCTAGTCCTCATCCAGATTCCAAACTTAACAACTTCTAAAAGCTATGGAATCCACAGTGACAAGACCATCTTGTTTAGGAATGCAGTGAATAACAATTTGGAGCTTTTTGATATCCTCAGGGTGAAAATGGATTGTTATAGGAACAACAACCAAAGAATTATCAGAGGCCCGAAAGTTTTGGTCCCATTCCTACCCCCTTTGGTCCCCTTCCTACTTCTGAGGAAGGGGAAGGATAAAAGCTGAGTAGCTAAGGAAGAGGCTGGCGATTTAACTAACAGTGCCCACACAGAAAACCAGCAGGACTCAATTCTGAGCTCATAGCTCCACATAGCTCAGTTTGTTCCTGAAGCTGGAAACCTGAGGGGAAACAGACACTCCTCAGTCCTCTCCCCTTCACCTCACTGTGCCCTGTACATCTACCTTTTTCATCTATATCCTTTGTAATAAATGGACAAATGGAGGCATTTACCCAGATTCTGTCAGCATTCTAGCTATCAAGGGTACACAAAGAATGGGTCAGGGAAACCCTGAGTGACAGCACGTTAGGAGCAAAGGCTACGCAACCTGTGCACTGTCTTCAGAAGTGAGGGAAGTCTTGTGGGACTGACCTTTCATCCTAGAAAATCTGATATCAGCACCAAACTGAACTGAAGACACGCAGTGGTATCCACTGCAGAATCAGCCACAGAACTGGCTGCTGGTGGGGAGAAACCACACACACATTCTGTTGCCCAGAGGTGAAACATTCTAGACTGAATGTGGAGAAAGAAAAATACAATTTTTCTCCATCATCACACTGTCTTACTGGCACCAAAGAGGTAGAATAACGCTAATTTCTCATACATCCTGACAAATGATTAAACACGTTACTCATATAGAGATATACAGTGCCCCTTGAGGTTTTAAGTTTTTAATATTGAACCTATCAATATTTTACAGTTTCTTTTATATATTTCTGAGGACATGTCCTCTAGTTCTACATTCAGTATTAGTTTACTTAGAACTGATTCATGAATATGAGCTAGGGATCCAGCATTATTTTCCCCATATTATTTTTGACATATATTAGTACTAATAATAATTACCCTCAGGGTAATTATCTTCTCAAATCATTACTTACACTTAAATTTTTTTCTGACTACTTATTAAAGACTCCTTCCACTTTACTGACCATTCAGGGTTCTTCTGTGAATGCCACTTTATCTTTTGTCCATTTATTACAGTTTGGCCAAGTGTCTTCCCAAAAGCCTACGCTTAAGATTTAGTCCCTGGCGGGTGGTGAGAAGGATGACTGGATCATTAGAGTTCTAATTCCAACAATGGGTTAATCCATGAATAAATTCATAGATGG